GTTTCTGGCATATACTGTTAATTGACTGGTCAAGTAATTTCAATTCCTCCATCCAATCGAGACCCAGCAAATTCAATCCTGGTTGATCTGTCACAAAACAGCTTATCCGAATGTCCTGATCACGGAAACTGACCCGACAATGCAACTCTCCGAGAAGTTTCAAAATACCACCGGATGCGTTTCGTGCTGTGTGGTCTGTGTGTACAAGCGGTGGTCGTCCCAGCATACACCATGTGTCTCGACAAATCAAAGTGATGTCTGACGCAGTATCCAGCTGCAGCCTAACTTCTTTATCATTGATCTTCAACATTGTAAACTTACGGCTGCTGACATCATAAACCTTGAAAGTCGCCGTCACAGTCTTGGCCTCGTGGTGACATCGGAAGCGCACCGGGATTCAACGCCGTATTCCGCTCATTGTTGGTCGCTTCGCAAGACAACACGACTCTTTGTGTCCTCGCTTACCACAGCGATTGCAAATGTGATTTCGGAACGGGCAGTTTCGACCAAAGTGCCATTCCCTGCAAAACCAACAAGCAGAAGAGGGTTTAAAATGTGGTGAACTCACATGAACCGATTCTTTCTGAGGACTTCGGCTGACCCTGCAAATGATGCCCTGGCTACTCTGGATGGATGACTGTTGGATCATCGCAGCATCATGCTTCAAATTCATCAACCGTTGGCATTCGTTCGTCACTTCCTGCAGTGTGCTCTCGGGATTTTGTTCAATTCTGCCCAGTACTTTTGTTCGGGCATCAGCAACTTTGGTTGCTTGAAGATCACACACATAAATAAGGCACTTGTACTGATCAGCTGTCATCTTGTGAAACAGCGACCGTTCACACTCACGATTTACGCGACTGGAGTAAGTAACCCATTTTTGGTCGTCTCGCTTAGTCATTGTCAGGCATTTGTATCGGATATTGAATAATGACGATTGCTCTCCAAATATCTGGGACAAAGTAGCAACCGCTTCATCGAATGTTAAATCAGTGCTCTTTGTCGGCAAGATGAAGTTCATAAACTTTGCATGCTCGGCCGCACCCAATTTCCGCAGCATGAGGCGTACTCTCTTGTCCTCTGAAGCACCGGCTAAGTCAACGCGAGACAGGTCTTCGTACTTATGGAACCACGATTCAAAGGTAATACCGGCATCGGCATCGTAACGGAACTCACAAACTTGCTGGGTCAAGGTTTCTGCTGAGAGGCAACTTTCACTTGTTCCTGTTACCGTGCCTGCTTGTAGTGACAAATTCTTGGTCAGAGTTTCAAACCACTTGGCCTGTGCTTTCTCAAACTGCGCCTGCTGTTGCTGCAACAGTCTGCAATTGCTCAAAACTGACTGACATCTTTGGGTTCCTCTGACTCTTGTCGCCACTGTAGTAAAGCTGCCTTCGTACTGCTGCACTGCTGCTATTCTGCCCCTGCGAGACTACGACCGATGGATTGCTCAGTCATGCGTTCAACCAACCGACGGGATACAGAAGGCCAAGGCTCGGTAAACAGGGAGTCTATTCTACACGACAGGTCAGTTCTATTTATTGGTGAACGAAACATACTAATTTTTGGAAGCGTTTGGCTCTCAGCCAATGTGAGTTAATGCCGTCCCACGGATTTTCCATATTTAGCAGATTGGTTCGCCTCCATTGACTCGGGCTTGTATTTGCTGGCCAATCAGTTTGCACGCGATTCCCAAATTTGGCAAAACAGTCGAAGGTCATTCCACCCTCGTGCTAGTGACCTTCGCATGCAGCGGACAGCTCACGTGCTCCTGGTTAAGTCTGTGCACGACCTCGTATCTGGACACTGGCTCCGCTTACCTCTCTTTTAGAGACTGACCTCCAACGATTGGGCTGACTGCTATGTGTCACTCTGAAGGCACTTGGAAAGTGCCACTCAGCGTAGCCCAATAGGTCACGGAGGTACGTAGACCGTCACATTACGTTAAGGTCCAATACCGTCATGATGGCATCATGATGTCAGTTAGGTAATCCTAGAGCAAAGTAATGCACTCGCTGCACGTTTACAAGTTCACTCAACAAGTTAAAGTCCAGTCTCGCGGCAATGGATACTTTGAATGAAGTGTGCCTCAGCAAATGAAGCAATTCTGCCGGTTTATTGTTTCACCCGGAATTTTGGCACAATTTGCATGAGTCTACTTGTATCTGGTCAGCGGGCGTTCCTGCAACATGTTAAACGGAACACTGCCCCGTCTCGTGACAACGTAGTAAGACTAGGAATGTCCACAGCTTCATGCTGGAACACCTAGCAGACAGTGGACATCAGATACAAAAGAAAATGGTTTCAAAAGAGTGCATGCTGCATCGAAGCGCAGCCCAAAAGGACTCAGAAGGCGCTTACTGACCACGATAGATGCAATGGCGATCAAGCGGCTAAAGCCAGAACTGTGTAAACAGTGTGTATTTATGCAGAGTTGAACCCAAACGTGGCCATAGCCTGATCAACCGAGTTCGGGCGTCGTGGTCTAAAGGCATCAGCTGTGTTAGAGGATACTGACGGACAACCTCTGACCTCTTGCACTGAAAGTACGTCCTCATTGGCGGAGCAATTCGCATCCGTATTTACAAGTGGGCATGCGCCTATGCCAAGGTCGAGATGTGCAGCCCCTACTGAACTCGATGGCCTGGATTGCTATGTAGATATCCGCAGTCTACTCACCAGTCTTGACGACAGGAAACCTGCCGGACCCAATGGATTTCACCCGCTTATTCTGAAGTCCTTATCGGCCATCATCTTGCTTGCTATGACGGACCTGTTCAACAGATCGCTGTCCGAAGGTGCATTTCCGAGTGAGTGGAAATGCTCGGTAGTGAAGCCAATTCCAGAAAGCGGTGACCCACGCAATGTGGATAATTACTGGCCGATTTGTCACACCTCTGTTCTGGCGAAGGTGCTCGAGAAGATTGTGACAACGGGGCTGCCCCAGCTGTTACAGTCGAAAGATCTAACGCCAGCAAAGCAAGGCCTCATGAAGGGTCGCTCGTGTTGACGCGGCAGAAATGGTTGCAAGCGTTGAAGCGGGAGAAGTTAGTGGATGTTATCTACATTGATTTCAATAAAGCTTTCGAACAACTGGACTATGAAGTGCTGTTCAACAAGCTGAGGATATGCGGTGTTGGTGGCGTACTGCACCAGTGGAGCAGTGACTTCCTTATTGGGAAAAGTTGGCGGGTACAGGTGGATGACCACCTAACGGACTGGTACCCTTCCACTAGTGGTGTACCCCAATGCACAGTTCTGTGGCCCATTTTATTCCTGATCCACATCCACGAAGTACCTCAGCTGCTTCGGTCGCCTTGTGCACTGTTTGCAGACGACTTGAGGATTTGGAGGGTTATTGATTCTCCCGATGACTGTCACGCCATTCAGCAGGATCTCGAGCACCTATCCCGTGGTCTGCAGAAGTTGACCTACCGGTCAACCCGACCAAGTCCACGTTTATGAGTCAGGGGAGGGTGGTAGTGGGTACACCCTGGCCTACCAGCCGCTGCATCCCACCGTTTCTGTAAAAGATTTAGGCGTACTCTCATGCTGCGATCTAAAGACTGTCGACAACACGAACAGACTGTGCGTAAACGAACTACGCCTGCTTTGGGCACTTAGACGCAGCTTCTGCACTTGGTCTAATGAGATTGCCACCCGTCTTCTCCGTGATAAGACCGGTGCTTGAGTACAGCTCACCCGCATATTGTCCGATCACAATAGGTGAGGTGCAGAAACTAGAACCGGTCCAGCATGTAGCTACCCTGATCATGCCCAGTTGAAGGGCTATGTTATATGAGGACCGATGTAGGAGACAAAGGCTGTAAACCCTGCCATATCGTCGGCTTCGAGTTGATCTCATAATGACGCACCGCATATTGCACATGGGCCACTTCCCTAGGTTGAAGCCGCTGCTGCATGTTCACGCACCAAGCAGTACAGGCGGACAACGGTACAACCTAGTGGTACCGGATTAAAAGCGCATCGCTCATCCTCTATGCTTCGAGCGTCAAGTGGTGAAATATTGGAACACGTTGCCTGAGACGATAGTCAATGCGAAATCGATGTCGGGATTAACGAGGTTCCTAGACGTCAACTTTGCGGACTACAGGTATAGGGAGCGTATCGCACCCGGATAAGATGTAGTGCAGCTGCAATATGCTGCCACCGCGCAGGAATCAGCGATGTGATTCAGCGCATGTGACCGATCCACTTACGATGGAACAACACCGATTTTTATCTCATCTCTATCGCTCTATTCTCAGTATTCAGTAAGAGCAGTACGCCGATATGCAGTGCCAACCCTTCGTTGCCGCGTAACCAACACCAGTCGCACATGAGCTAAGAATACTGCGATGGTCGGCCGGTCCCTAGGCAGGCTCGAACCCGCGCCCTCGGAAATACAAGGCGGACTTGTGATCCTTAAGGCTACAAGGCGGCAGTGGCTTTAAATTGACAATGATTTCCATCCCCGTGGCTCCGATCGAAGCATACAAGAGAAATCGCTGCATTCCCCTAGTAACAGCTCTAGTTCCAATGATTATTTATCTCAGGATTTTAATTGCCGGACGCGATTCATCGAAAGAGAAACTTCTTCGCAATTTCACTTTACAACAGTAAGAGATCGTGGAGTGTTTCTTACATGGCTGTTGTTGCATCTTCTTATCTCCTGGTTCCTCTCTGGTACAATTTGTTCTGGCGCCTTCCGTGTTTCCTTCGCTTTCCTCATTAGACCAAGCTCTTACTGAATGGTTGTGATGTGAGGAGCATCCAGTCGACTACGAAGTACTTATTTTACGTTGATGGAGACAAGTGCCCAGTGAAATCGGATGACTAGTAAAGATCGATCGGAAAAAAATCCGGTAACTAACCAAATGTAAGTCGAAAAGCCATGACAAGGTTCTGCAAAAACACCATCGACACGGCGTCATAGGAGTCACTGTTTTGATAAAAAAAAATGTGTATTATCTCTGAACTAGAGGAGGGTGTCAACTCACCTTAATCGCCGCATTCGACTCCTTATTGGCATGGCCTCCCAGACGGGTCAGCACGGCCACAGCGGCCTCGGCACTCTGACGAACGCCACTGACTTTGTCCCGACTACCCACGAGAAGCAACGAGAGAAACATGGGCAGAGAGAGTTCGGAGGAGTGTTCAGAGCACGCAGGGTCCGCGAGTTTCCAACGCCAAGACACATGTGTGGCCACAGTGGTGACTAGAAGACGTGTTTCGATAGCACTGTGCTTTATACCCTGGACCAAGAACAACGCAAACATGCAGATCAGTTGGGATACATGGGTGAAGGTAGAGGGATTAGACAGAGTAAAGTATATGCTGGGGGAGTGGTCCTGCGCGTGAAATAGAAGTACAGATTCAAGTAGACCTAGGTAACACTTCCCAAGTACAATTAGTCAAGTGTGTGGCAACGGATACGTGAAGCAGTGGAGATAAAACGTCCAGAAACTTATAAAGAAGGGGAAAGCAGACAAATGATCCGACACTGGAACAGAGTGCGGAATAATAACCCGTGGGAGTGAGATGTGTGCTCATAAGTAGACACTAAGATGCTCAGCTATTGAGATGGCGGTAAGATGTCCTCGAAGGAAGGAGTGTAATAAGAGCTACCACCGGCCGTCACGTTAAGGATCACAAACCTGCCTTGTAATTCTGAGGTTGCCGGTTCGCGCCTGCGTAGGGGACCGGGCGACCGTCGTAGTATCCGTAGCCCACGCACGACTGGTGGCGGTTGCGCGGCACAGAAGTGTACTGGTGGAACTTTTTCAAGTGCCAGTCGATAGGGCTCAGTTGAGAGGTCGGTTAGTAAAAAGAGTTCATCCAGTGGAGCGGATAAGTCAGACGCGAGGAGGATAAGTGTGAAACAAAGCAGATTCAAAGGGGAGTGATGAAGGTAATGCGAGAACGAAAAATGTAGAGAAACAGAGAACAAGACGTGAACACAGAGAACTCACACTGGTTAGCAGACTCATGGGCTGACGGCAATCGTGATGTGCCTCAGGTGTCTCCACAGTGTGACCAAGGTAACTGCCAATGCACCGGTAGCCCAGCTGCCATACCTCCGACTGGAAAAAGACAGGACGAGGGAAATCTGAATCACGAGTCCAATACCGCAAAAGAAACAGATAACGCAGCGCTATTGCAAATAATGTGATGCATCAAGAGACAAAACACATGGGGCGGTGGGGGAAGGAGGGAAACGAAGCGAACAACACGGAGGAAGCTACGTTTGGTACGCTTCGCGTCGCAGCTAAACCACTTGCGGCGATTCACAGAGGATCGGTAAAGAATAGAAGCCGTCCGCGCAACAGTTGCGGATGTAGAGATAACCATATTCACTGTCAATGGGGCACAGTACTGGAGATGAAGAATCGCTTTTCAAAAGCGAGTTGGAGAGATAAAAGTGGTGATGAGGCCGTGCGTTTGTTCCTCAAAGTTCCTGGGATTGCCGCTACGCAATGCGAAGTTGTATCTTTGTCATCAACTGATACATAGAACTGATACACTGCTGTGTATGATTGTAACTACGTATGGGTTGAGGAATATTAAGAATCGAGAACGAAAGACCATCTGGTGAGCAATTGCTTTCAATGATTCATCATCAGACCATTACAATCATATGGAGGCTAAAAAGTTCAAATCGACCCAGTTAGCTCAAAACGAATAGATCACGTAAAGGTCTATGTCAGAGATGAGAAAACGAATTACATCTTAGTGGGCTAGTTGTTTGCTACCGCGTCTGATGAAGGCAGTCGACCTGGACGTCTTCCGTCTTCGCTGGCCAGGGAAGCTGAAGAGCCTGGATCAGCTTCTTCTGTGAGCATAAAGACGGCTGAAACAATCGAATGCAAATTCCTTCGGCTGTCGCAAGTGTACGAAGGCGGTAACCTTTCGTTCAAGATTGCAAGAAGCGATCTAGAGGAACATCTATATGCCCTAAGCAAACGTTCAAAGTCAAGGAGTCTACAGCTTGTAAACAGCATACGGTACAAGCACCAGGCCATCGTACATAGGCGAGACAAATTTTTTGCGGCGTTCACTACCCCGCAGATAGGTGGGCATCAGACGCAAGTTAAAGAGGCAGTCCGATTAGAAAAGGACAGCAGACACGTCACTGGTGTCGACTGCAAGTCATGTCTTGTAAGGTCTCAAGCGAAGCAAAAGGTAGGTCACGTGGACTCCAGTCTGAAAGGCGAGACGAACCAATGGCAGTTAGTTTGCTCGTTAGTGACTTCATTGCTCGCTGCCAAGTCAATTTTTGCCCACCTCCAACTTTGTACCACACTACACCTGGCAGACAAAACAAGGTCCTCATCAGTAAGCGGTGATCGGTCATACGCAGTACGTGCTCATTCAGTACTATTTGTTGTTCTAAGGAACTAGCTTGGCTATCACTGCCCAGTACTTGCCTAGGCACATATCGTTCCGGACACGCTGGTGCCACCCGACACCAACAATACTCTGCAGACAGCGATGATCAAAGACTTGAAGTCACCGCAAGTCCTCAGATCGAAAGGGTCAAGTTTCACTTCCGTAAATGAGACAGCTTTTCAGATCGGGAGGATTACCCTACTGGTAAAACTAATGTTGCAGATTTAAGGGTGTGTGCTTAGCTTTAGCAATATGTGAATTGATCTAAGCAGCCACACACCCGTTGTTGCTGATTCAACTGTGGATTGACCAATCATGCACTGAAAACGTGCGCGTTTGAGTGCAAATAGGTTAAGTTTACATGACTTGCTCATCATCAAGACTCAAGAGGTTATCAAGTGGCTGATGGTCCTGTAACATCACTTAGCACCCCGAAGGTGCAGAGCGCAAATCAAATGATAGGACAACTCGATAGAGTTCATCGAGTGGTTACCGAGCATTCATGTGATGTTCGAACAGTAAACCAATATCGCCCAAACAGAAAGCACTAAAGTCACGAATTCGGCGTAGCGCGACTTTCAGACAGCGCCAACAATATCGGCTGTCATGGATGAATGACATCTTTTTTGTGCGCACACGCTACGTCTGAATTGTTGCCACTACAGAGATTATGCTCGGCCTCAATAAGAACCATGTGTCACGATCCACACATAGCCAAGCCGTTTTATGTCAAGACGCTGATATCATGACACCGATCAGGAAACTAACTCACAAAGGAGTAAAGTGCAGTTGGGGAAGAGAACAGGAAACCGCATTAGCAACCAGTAAGTACCTTATCAGCAACGCACCTGTACTCGGATATTACGATCCAGCGCAGCCTCTGGAGGTACACTATGACAGTAGCCAGGGCGGAATAGGTGCTACTCTGTTACAGAATAGAAAACCTTTGGATTTCTGCAATCGAGTACTCATAGTGACCGAGCAACGCTAGGCGCAGATTGAGAAGGAGATGCTCGCGATAGTCCCTGCCATGGAGTGACTCAACGATTATACTTTCGGAAGAAAGACAACTGTGTATACTAACCACAAACCATTTTTAGCGATAGCCAATAAACAGCTGCACATGGTTCCTCGTCGTCTTCAGCGTATGCTTATCCGACTTCAAAAGTACGACGTGGGTATGTGTACACGCCTGGTACACAGATATTCATCGCGGATACGTTGCAAAGAGCTTATCTGCCGGTAGCCGAGCATCATCCGGAAGAGGTCGAATCAGTAAACCTAATATAGCATCTGGAGTGAAGATAGATCATCTAAAGGAAATAAGACGGCACGTAGAGGAAGATGCGACGTTTTCAGCATTGCGAGAAGCTATTCCAAATTGGTGATCAGAGAGAAAGAAGCAGTTGCCGTAGTAACTAACACCCTACTTCAATTTTCGGAATGAACTATCTGTTGATGATGGTTTGCAGTTCAAGGGAACTGTGTTCTAATCCCAACATCGCTCCAAGGAGAAATGCTGAAATACGTTCATTGTGTTCCCCATGTGCCAACTACACCGTTAAGCGAGCAAAAAAAACTGACCTTTTGGCCAGGAGAGACGGGTCAAATCAAGGACCATGAGTCGAATTGTGAGGCGTGCCGTTCACACGAAATCCGGCAGACGAGGGAGCCAATGATCCTGCATGACGTCCCTGACCGACCGTCGCAAAAGGATTTATTCTATGACACCGGGAAAGATACTGACGGTGGATTTCCATAGTGATAAATTTGAAATCGAGTTATTCACCAGAAAGCCTGGGGGTCAATACGCTATGCACGGAATATCGGAAGTGCTGGTTTTCGGCAATGGTCCCCAAGTTTACCAGCACTGCGTTCCGGGCTTTCGAAATCAAGTGGGTATTCATGCACCATCAAAGCAGCCCATATCATGACAGTAAAGTAGGCCAAGCGACTGTTATCAAAGCCTAGAGCTACAGGTGAAGACCCGTACCTCATGATACTGGAGAATCGCAACACTCCTTCAACGGATATCGGTTTGAGACCAATGAAGCGCTCATCCAGCCGAAGGACCTGAACTCTGATGACAGTAGCTGCCACAATTTTGCGCCTAATTCCGCCGCAACATGATGGATTACAGAACAGTCTGAAAAGACGAATGATCACACAGAAATGGTACTAAGACCGCAGTGCACGGGTACAACTCGAGCTAACGGTGGGGGAGGAAGTGTCGGTTTAGCCAACACCCGACACTCAAGGGCGGTAAAAGAAAGGTGTGGTGACTGCAAGGGTCGGTGCCAGGTCAGACGTGATAAATGCTGGAGGGAAAACGTTCAGAAGAAATCCAGTGCATTTGAGGCGACGCCGGAGACAACAATGTGGATTAGGAGTGGAGAGCCCAATGGTACCGTGCAAAGAGACCACGAGCACAGATACAACGAAGACAACGCGGAGTGGCAAGATGTACGGAATGCATAGCAATATGGAGGCATAAGGACACGAAAAAAGGGGGAGGTGATGGGACTGTTAGATCAGAGTGAACGGTGAGACTAACGGAGCGAGCCAGACAACCAGTGGGAGACAAGGGTGAAGCATTCGATTATTGGACTCGGAATGGTCGATATTCGTGTGAGTGATTCACCGTTTGTTTAACTGAAGCAAAGGAGGAACCTCATCGACTCAGGAGGGTCGTTAGTTATGGACTTGAACATGCAACTTATATCGAGGCGTTTGGCTTGTCAAACGTGCTGTAATTTTCGCCGAGTTAATCTTGCTGGATAAACGCTTGTCTCTGAAGAACTGAATTCTGCAGCAGTCTCCATGAGACCAAATTGTCAATGACGATCGTGAAATTATGAATTTACCGCCGAGTAATCAGAATGGGACCGAAATAGAGAGAACACAGAAAGGGCACGGAGCCGAAAACATCAAATGGTTCAATAAAACTAAGGAATAGAGATGTGGAAAAAACAGTGGAAAGACGAAAGAGCAAAATTTACCTGATCATTTAAACAGAGTTTGGCAAGAAAATCTTCCATGTTCTTCAAGAATCCCGAATGTATAGAATGTTCGTTGATCACAGCCATCGGAGCGTGATTCAGAACAACGAGCAAAAATATGGCTTTACTATGAAGATGAGTCCAGCGTTCCGCTAAAGGAAAAAGTAACGAAGTGATGATGTGTCATCGACGGCCTCATGAATACACAGATTGCTGAATGGATTAAGGCCAATGCACAAACGCGTTACGTCAGAGCAGGAATGTTAAACATGGGCAAGCAGGCACATGTAACCAGTTGTATCGGTGGATGAGTTAGAATTCCGCGGTGAAACGCACAGGCGCACTGGTCAACTACTAGGCATCGAGTTAAACTCACGCTTGACGGAGTGAACGAAAACTGTGCGTTGAAGCATATCAACTAGACACCCCATAGATTCTGCGGAAACCGGAGCATCACCGGATTGCCTTCTCAGAGTGGAGTTGGCTGCGGCAACGGCACATCCCATGCAGACTGAAGATACGACGCGAATCGCTTCAAAGTTGACCGCGGCAACTTTGCCTCTAGCTGAATCATCGGTTTCGTAGCTGCTGTTTTCCACATCCGAGTCCTCATCACATGGTTCGGAATCGTCGATCAAACCAGGTTTGTTGCTCCCGGAGTCCTGAATAAACATCAGCGGAGACAGCATGGAAAGGATGGAGTCCAGGGTAGACATACTAGCTTTTCCAGATGATCCCAAAAGACAGAGTCGCAGAGCTTGCAAACTCGTCTCTCTGGAACGGTAAGAAAAAAGGAAGGGAAATTTCATTCTGCCGAGTGAATTTACGACACGAGAGGAAAATTGCCAACGCAACAACAGCGTCAGTAAGTTCAATGATGTCATGCTGCGGTAAGGGCCCTAAATTAGAAAAGCCGACCATATAAGAATCTAATGTGAAACACAAAGGCCTTGGGTAAACATCGAGGTAATAAAAATGCTATGACAACGCATTTTCATAAATAGCTGACAATCGCTCGAGCCTGAGGCTGTGTAGACCAGACAGGATTGTTTACATGGACCGCGTTTTGATCTATCTCACCAGAAAATAAAATCATTATGAAGTCAAAGGAACGATTTAAATAGGACAGACGGCGGCAGCGGAAACATCGAAGAAGGTGCGGTATGAGAAATCACCTCAGATCAGAAAAAGCACCTATTTATGCAGGTCGCAGCGTCTATACGGAGAACGAATAAGCTCGCTTGGATTATGGAAGAAGGTAGAACGGGTCCAGAAAAGGGGTTCACAAAAACATCAGTGTGTTATAGCAAAATAAATAAACATTGATCAAGATATGCACTAGACACGCATGAATAGGCATGATGACTTACTTACAGATCGATTATGCGTAAAATATCACACATAAGTATTTAGCAGCTAGTCTGATAATATGCTTATGATAGTGCGTGGTGTCTTGAGTAAATGTAATCGTTGAAGTCAATCTGATCGCCATCACAAACTAGGAAATATAAGCGGAAGGCTGTTTGCTCTTTCGAGACGTGTCAACGAGAAGCAGATCATGTCTTCCGAGAGTTGGAAACCAGCGAACCGACCCTCCAGGAGCAGTGACCGACGACAAAGTGGATGACATTAGATGCTATGACCAACTGACTGGCTGTAATGTGAACATAACACCCATCCTTCATTGCCATGCGCATATCAAATGAGAAGGCTGGGGCTAGCCCCAACAGCCACGACTTTCGTAGCAGGGCTGCTGATCGTCTGAAAGCCTTATAGGAGTCAGGGGATAAGTGCTGACTTCATGGCGCGGTGTGAGGGTATGTGGGTCAACTGCAGAGGGAACAAGTATCCACACTGACGCTGAATTGCTTAAGAGCAGAGAAGCACTTACGCAAGTAAACCCAGGGAAGTGAAACCCATTTCAACTGAAGCAGCGCAAGGTTGGAGACCTTGAACGTAAATATGAGTGACGGCTCAACGGAGGCAGGCACGGTTTATCACTAAGTGCGATTGTACATCTGTTCATCAATCAAACCGACAACCGCGTTGCGAAGAGGTAACTGGCTTCACGGGAGTATGTGAATCTGCAAGTTCCTGAGGGCACATCCTTAGTACGACGTCAAATGCTTCGAATGAGCCCTAGACTTGAACAAGTAGTCGAGAATGGAACTGGGGACGCTTCGAGTAGTGCAGTAATACAAAAATGTCGGCAGACGATTTGGTCGATGTGCCATTCGCGGTAAGCGAACTCGAAGTTGTGATCCACATGAGTGACTAGTCGATGATAAAGATCGAAAAGAAATCGTGCCTCCAACTGAAAAGAAGACCGCCGAACTCATCATACCATTGCACCAATTCGACCCTAAAGTCCGTGGAATCAAGTGGGTTTCGCGACCAGTTAGGATGACGGAAACGTCAAATCGCAGAGAAGGGTGCTTCCGTTCGGAAAGTAAACACAACTAACAAACGGGAAAAGATGACAGAAAAGAAAACAAATCAACTTTTGTTTGATAGCACAACTTACGGGTATTTGGCGATCCCAGTTTGAGTGAGGGCAGTGGCTGCTGTGCCCAATGTGGGTGCAAATTCCTGTAGATTGAGACCAGCAGGTAAATGGCCACTGGGCAAGCTGCTGAGGACTGCATTTGTAGAGAATCGAGACAGATCCGACAGCAAGAGATCAAGTCTAGGAGTGAGTTCCACAAGGGAGGCCAGTCCTCTGCCACCGAGTAATCGTATCGGACGATGTGTGTCACCCAGGCATTTCAAAAAAGTGGTCTGCAGCTGTGTGACAAAGGGTCTGGCAGAGTGCGGACACTGAGATAGATGAAAAACAAAGAGGGTGGGGGTTGGTGGAGCGGGTGCGGAAGTTGACCATGTAGGTGTGGAACACACTTGGATAAAGCGTACGAAATGTAGACCATGAAAATGGAATTGGTGCTCAGATTGAGAAAACCTTTAAACTCCGGAAAAAACAGGAGAAAACAGAGTGTGTGACCATGAAACAAGCCGGGGACCGATCGGAAATTCATAATTGTAGAAATTTGCGAAAACAAGTCGGTTTTGTGTATTTATTGCCATAATACAACAAACATATCCGACTGATTGGTTTCTAGGACATTCCGCTATTATCAAAAGAAAATCTAGTTCTTCATTGTCTGGGCGAAGAACATGGCCCAGAGAAATCCAGGCCCGAAGATAGATACGATGAGCAGGCTGATAACCGAAAGGAACGCGTGCACATGAGACTCCGTACACATTAGGAATAGGACCAACCCACCTGTCATCACACACATTCGACGGGTGTCCAATAACGGAGATGCATCGACGGAGCTGTGCCACGATGCAAAGCCGCAACTTACAAGTCAAGTACAAGCGTTGTGTACCCAAATGGGTAGAATTTCAGCATTTTACAACATCAAACGGGTAGCATCGAAAGCGTAAAATTTGCAAATGGGTAAAAAAAGAGAATGGTGCACTGTTATAACTCTATCGCGCAACGATCCCATAACGCTGAACTATATCTTCGGGATTTGCATCCATTCAGAACAGAAAAGATTTCAGTAAAACGTTTCTTCATAATTCTTTTCACCTGACGTAGATTTTTGTGTCCAAATGCAATAGATCGCGGATCGTGCGCGATAGGTCAGCGTTTCTATTCCAAACGTGGATGGAATAGATTGGCCTCATTGACCTTGGAAGTTGATTGAATAAAATACGTCAGCTTATTCTTGCAAGGCTGATACATTTACGGTAGATAAGGTAAAAAAAATGTCCGGCGAAAATGGCAACAGCCGAGTTAAAGGTCCCTCAATTTGATCAAATGAAGAGATCTGCGGCACCAAGATTTGCAGAACACGCTTTGCATGCAGTTAATGGGAGAATGCGTGCATGTCTTAAAAGGTGCACAGAATGTAACTGAAGATGGTGCCCCCAAAAGTAGTCGCATCTACGGAAATAAAACCGCACGGCGCGGCTAGAAGGATGACAGCTGTCACCAACGAAGACGGTGGGGAACATATGTAAAGAGTATGGCGCACAATACAGCGGTGCACCCAGCGTTGGAATGGAGTCATACCGATGGCTGTGCGTTGAAGGTATTCAGAATGCAAACCAGCGGGGAGGCCGAGTGAATACTAACTGAAGTCTGTTGCCACATCGGGTCGTGAGCCAATGGATCGGTTGTCCAAATCAGACAATTCGCGCAGGCCAGCCGTCTCATGAGCCGATGGTTACTGATAGCGAGTAAACCTCAGTGAAACCCGGAGGTGGCTAGTTCAGGGGATACGATAAAAGGTGCCAGAGAAAAATACGAAAAAGCTGGTATGGGTTGGTGTTTGCCACATTAGATGATAATCTCCGACTGGGTTATATCGCTGGTTAGATACTCCACTGGAGAAACTGAAGTCACGAAGTCATTGTTGATCTGACAGTTGCTCCTTTCTTTTTAACTGTAAAGGGCCATATCTGCTAATTTTATTTTCGTTTGCTCCACCGGACTTCAGAACACAAGCGAATCGCTGCCCGATGTGGCACCTACAGGGGGAAAATAATCCATCCCCACCTTAAAGAAAAGAAAGGTAAACTGCAAATAACCTTAGTTTTCGATAAGCAGCGAGGTTGAGCAATCCACTGATAAGGAACTTCAGTATTCGACGAACGGAACTGAGGAATACGTCGCACCATGCACATCACAAAAGGGCGTCGCCGCTGAGTGCGGAAAGCTCATCAAACTAAGTTCAGCCGCACGGTTTGAGATGAATGGCTAGATCCAAGAAGCAGCGCGTAATACAGTACTAATAGTAAGTGATAGAGTGGCCCGAGGTGCTCGTGTTGTCTATTGGAAAGCACTCAACATTGAAGACACAAAGAAAGAGGAGTCGTTGTTGTGAGGGTGGACGAGCGATTTTTGAAGCAATCATTCAATAATCTGATTCAGTGTTTGATTAGTGAAAGTGAAAATGTATGGGACAGCGTGTCACATGTTATCCCAAAGTGTAGCACTCAGGATCGGGGATACATACTGTTAGAACGCGGCCACCTAATATACACACACACACACACACAAACACACCCTATTGTCATCGTCTCGTCAGTGAAAGGCAGTCGAGAATATCCGGTCAGTTGTAGACTAAATATATAATTACTTACACCGTGAGTACGGACACTATGGAGCATAGGATCTCGAATATTCACTTACCTAAACTAAAACTTACCATATGTTGACTGAGCACGGAAGAAGCCCACCCGATTACTACTGAATCAAAATCTATTTGAGTAAGTTGATCAAGCAGAGCCGTGCAGCGAGCTCACTGGATGTGCGATTTGAAGTTCGTGGGTAACCCGAACAGGCTATATATGGTGATGGACTACGCAGGCTTTGTGTGCACAAATGCAACTTCTATGCTTGATTTGTAGAGGTCACCATTAGCCTTTTCTCCTAGACCATGAAACCGAAGCTAGAGTACGGCTCCTCCGCCTACTGTTCGATCACCGGAAGTGAAGCACAGAAGATCAAACGGTCTAAACAGGCTGATATCAGGAACATCCAGAGCTTACGAGGAATGCCGTACGAAGATCGGTGGGATAAACAAGGACTCTACACATCGTCCAATCGTTGGTTGCGAGTCGATCTCATCGTGATCTACCGATATTACATCTAGGTAACTTCTCCATGTTGAGGCCACTGCTCCACTTGCGAAAGACAAGAAGTACAAGCGAAAACCAGCACAAGTATGTGATTCTGGATAAGAAACGATTCATCCAAACCATGTGCTTCGACTGGAGGATGGTGGATAATTGAAACTGTCTGTAAGAACAGGTCAAATCAGTGCAGTTCAAAACCATACCGATCTTACATTTTTACACGTTCGATTCAGAGAGAACGATGACACATACAGACATCTCACAGTGATGTACCTAGTGATACTGTCAGTCAGAAATTTGTAGGTGTTGTGTAAGAAAACGAGTGCGCTACTCACAGGTGATAGAAACATTTTAGGTCTGATTCTGTTATTGTACCGAACAAAGCTGGTTTGCCGAACAACCTCCTCGTGGTGCCAGCTGGGTGGTTCGGGAGTATCACGTTCCAGCAAATCGTTCGGCGACAGTGTTCCAGGAGGTGGTAGGTTTTCGTCTGGCACACGATCGCCATATAAAGAGTCAGATATGTTCGTTTAACAACATTGTGACATAGCGGATGTGACTCGCCACTAAATAAAGTCACTGCCCCTTGCTTTATACTGGCGAAGAATTTTATTCCAGTAACTTAGTGATGAAATTGTGGGGAGCACTAGGCCCCTGTTTGGCAAACGAACATATGAAAGGCGTATGAACTGGACAACCAGTCACCGGCTACCGATGGAAGCGATTCCCTGAATTCGCTCCAATGCCATGCGGGCAGACCATTCGGCCAAAGGCTCGGGGTGGTGCCCCCTAAGTGAACAACTTACTTCGGCTAGGTCAACCGCGTAGTGTATCCGGCTCTAACGAAACCACGGACTCATCCCTGATGTGTTGTGCGTTTTGAACGATATATGCATCGTACTTTGAGTTCCATGGTTTTTGATGGCTCTATGTATCTTCTAAAGCTGTCACATACACACACAAATATATATATATATATGTATATATATATAGTTGGCGGCATCCCGCTTCGGATCTGCTTGTTATTATAGCCAGCCACAGGACGCCTGCACCCACAGAGGGACTATGAGTGGCTTGCATTGCACCACCCACAGTTCCATCCAGACACCCCATATCCAGTGTAAACCTGAAGGAATAAGAAAGGGACGCAAGTGGATGGGGGCCACGTTTCATCAACGGAGCCGGCCTACACTCCTTCATAGGCAAACACAAGCACGATGCAGTCGGGGAAACAAGCGCACACAAGACGGTGGCTGGACTGCAGTCCGCTCCACAATGAGTGCATGGAACCACTCTTCGAGCCTAGCACGACCACAAGGACCATGCACCCCGTCCACTCCAGCAACCACCAACTGTCTCCTAGACCCAGTATAAAAGAGGTGGTGGGTAATAGACAGGTAGGCACCTTGTCAACATGCACATCAAGCGCCGCCACACCGTGGATATCAAGCAACAGCCAATCACTTGAAACGACAAGATAAAATAAAATAAATTGGACAATGCATACAGGTACGGAGACATAACTCTTCACTAAACGGGCGTAAAAAGTTGATTACGAACGAAGCCGCGATAAGTTCAAGAGGTCAGAAAAGGTATCTTGAGAAAATGCCACAAACGAGAAAACGTTACCAGAATTAACTACAATTAGTTTCAGAGACGTGTGCAAGTATACAGAAGATAGTACAGGCAGAGATTAATTTGAGAAAGAAAAGCATTAAGACAAAATTGAAAACTCACCACCTGAAATAAAGACTCAGCATGCCAGCGTGCGGTTAGTAAATCGAATGCAGCGCACCTACAAATGCTGCGCTGGTTTTGCCTACATTCTCTGCAGGGCATGTCGTCGCTTCGGTGGTTGTCCGGAGTGGCCTCGCTCATGGTTCCCTAGGCCTGCCTGACTCAGGCACTCGCGACCGCATGTGCTACAGCACCATGCGCTCGATGTCGATGGAGTTCAACCCATCGGCGACTGCCGCTTCCGCAGTTGCTGCTTCTTCTCCGCATGCATGAGGGCATTCTCCCGCACATCCGCAACTGCCTTCATGATTACATCGCGCCATGCACGCCGATCAACTGCCTTCGATTTCCCTGACCTGCAATCAAGAGTAGAACGCGAGAGGCTCACTTTAATCATGTCCTGGTAACGTAACTTTGGTTTCCCCACGTGCCGC